ACAGAAAATAGAGATAGTTGCATATAGATGATATTCTTTGTAGTGAACATTTTAAATTTATCCTCATTTTAATTTATTTTCTTCATATAGATTTTATCATAATTTTTTATACTTCATGTATAACTAGTTTCTAAATTAAAAACATAAAAAAATTCAAAGAAAAGGAATGTTGTTGTCTAGTCTTAGTTATGTCCTATCTTGATTGGGACGGGACGGGATGAGACATGAAACAGAAAAGCCGTGCCATCCTAATTATCAGGATGGGACCAAGACCGGGTCTTTTTTATCTCATCCCGTCCCATGAACACCTTTACTATATATAGTTTATAGAGTGAGAATATTGTTTTAGTACTAGAAGTTACATCATTATAAGGCAACATTTCCTCTTTTTTTTTGTTTTAAAGGGGTTTCTCGCTAATTATTAAGTGAAGTAATAGGATTACGAGTCTCAAAGTCCTCAAATTTAAGCTAAGCCCGGACTTAAAGAGACTAATGAAATTAAGAAAGCATGGTTATAGATGTTTGCATAGATTTAGAGGAGACAGGACCACGTGACCTATATATATATATATATATATATATATATTGGTTCCTTTGGTTGCTTTAATTTGGTTTGCATCTTTAAAATAACAGGACTGAACGGATGGAAATCGCTGGGAGTTCGATGTATCTGGCTGTTACATATACACTAATTTTTTTACATTGAAGGAAATTGCAGACATCGCATATAATAATGTGAACAGGAGGATTGTGCATAATGTTTGGCAGCGCAACTTAAATGCAGCTGTGTAAAGATACTATTCATATTTGGAAGTATAGCCGCAATATAGTCTGTATCAGTGACTTCCCTTTAAAGAAATCATTTAAAAAGAAATCAATATTCAATAATATCAATGTATATAATAAAATTTATAGAACGAAACTAGGTCAGATTAATAAGGATGTCCTAACATCCATCAGCATGAGTTAATAATTTTATGATAATTATATATATATTTTTAAAGAAGGGTTAAATTGTCATTTTGTCATTTAAAAAAAAAAACCCCCCTCAGTTCTTTGCAGCTCCTTGCAGCAGGCCGTCGACCACAACGCCACCATCCTAGCGAAGAAAACACAGCCTTTTTCCATAAAATTAGAGAGTGAAGAGGGAAAAAAAACACTAGACAAATCAATAGATAATTCAGTGGGGACATGAATATTGATATGATGTGGAAACCAGGACAAGCAACTAAAGAAAAGACAAACACTTTGGGAGTCAAAACGTTGATATTTGCCGAACGAGAGGTTCTTTTTAAGAATTGAAAGTTGAGTTAGCCCGCAGCAAGGAGATAAAACAGATGAGGGTTTGTTATTTTTAATGACAAATGACATTTTAACCTTTCTATAAAAATATATATAATTATCATAAAATTATTAGCCCATACGGATGCCACCTCATCCTCATTAATCCGACATCGCGGTTTCCATCTGATAATTATCAACTCAAAATTCCGGAAAAAATTGTACTACCTCCGGTCCTAATTATAAGACCCTGTTGACTTATTTGAGGAGATTAAGGAAGTAAGTTAAGTTAGTTATTTGTAATAAATAAGTATTGTCATTCCTAAAATATCCTTGCTAATTAAGTATATTGGCTAGAACTATCATTATTAGAAGGATTATCTTGGAAAAAAATGTATAAATATGAGAGACAAAATGGATTGGGGTCTTATAATTAGGACCAAACAAAAAGTCAAATGGGGTCTTATAATAAGGACCGGAGGTAGTATTAATCGAAGTTGCATAATTTTCTTCATTCTATATATAACTGATCCTTATATACCTATAGACACACACATACTACTTTCAGTCCTTAATATAAGACTTAGTTAGACTTTCAATTTAATTCTAAATATAAGATCACAATTTGTTTTATTTGTAATATTCATTTCTTTTGTCCTCAAGTAACTTTTATAGTGGTTATATATGTTAAGTATTTACTATCAATCTATAATTCAAACACACATTATTAATAAGGGTATTTTAGAAAAGAAAACATCTAATTATTACAAATAACAAATTTAACTGATTTTTAAAATTTTTCAAATTAATCAACTAGATTTTATATTAATGATTGAATGTAGCAATACATTTGCTATAGGGATGGGGGCCCATTCTTTTATGTATGTTGACAAGAAACAGAACCTACCTTACATAAAGATGAGTGGGTGTTTGGGTAACTCCAGAAACACTTTTCAGAAGTACTTTTTCGCAAATCAAGATAAACTCCTCCACATATTTATTTCGGGGGTGTTTAGAAGCACCTTTCCGCAAAACGAGACAAACTCCTCTATATATTTACTTTGTATACTGTAAAAGTACTTTTAAAATCATAGTTTAGTTTCTATCAAAACATCCCCTCATATACCGTAAAAACACTTTTAAAATTATGATTTTGTTCTTACCCAAACACCATTAAGGAAGAAGAAGAGCGCTCATTTCAGGGGAATAATTAAGGAAGTGTCTTTAATTTTTTAAAAGTTGATAATATTAATTTCCTCTGCTCTTTGTCACCCCGTGCCAGAGCCCGTAATATGAGTTGGACCCGCGGGTTAAACCCCCAACTCGCCAAAACAGATGGGTTAGGGTTGGCCTTTGGTCAACTCGCCACGACCTAAAAAATATGAGCCTGCACCCCTACAACCTGAGCTCGCGACGGGTCAACCCACGACCCGCCAACCTGCCAAAATTTTTTTTTAAAATTTTTTATATATATTAAAATATTAGGAGATGGGCTAGAAAGGTAGGAAAAATTTATGTTTGAACTTGTGTTTTATATGTTTGGAGTTTGAACTTTGGACAATTGTATATTTTGTGTTTTAATGTGTTGTAATTTTGTGTGAATGCTTAGAATACTTTAAATCATTTCTGATTTTTTTAATTTTTAATTATTTATAAGAAAAAATTTTTTTTTTAAAATCTGGCGGGTTGGTGGGTTAGGGTTCGCAAGATATCAACCTGTCAGAAAACGGGCCTTTTAAGCCCGACCCAAATAACCTGTAACCCGTCACGGGCCAACCCGTAACCTGCGAGTTGGCTGGACTTGGGTCAAATCCTTAATAGTTGGTTCTGTGGATATAGGGCCATCAGAGGTTGGACCCATAGCAGTTTTCCATAATCGTTTTGGCCAATAATTGGCTTCCCATGATATAATTATACCCGACAATTTTAAATGAAATCACTTTCCCTGTTTCACGCACCCAAAAGGTTTTAATACTGAATCGTTTATTAGTTATATTTCACATTCACAGTGACAAATGTAAAATGAACTTGGTTTATGATTAACTTGATGATAATTTTAATATTCAATATTACTTTGTCAAAATTTGATATTCTCTTTTCAAGTATTTTTTTCCCCGTAATGTGTCAATGAATCCTTCAAAAATTATCGTGCAATTAATTTAATTTCTCAATTATTTTGCCATGAATTGCAGCAAAGTACTCAGTTTAGTTTCGCTTGTAGTGACGAGGGGTAAGAAAACAAGAAGAATAATACGTTTTTTTTTTTATTGCACAGTGTCATGTTTTCATTTTGGCTTTCTCAAAGACTCTAAAGTCAAAACTCAAAAAGACTTGAGGAACTGACAACTAATGAATATCCAATAAATTTATTTAAAAATAATGTTCACTTAAATGAAGCCAATAAACAAAGAAATAGGTGAAATTAACAATCAATAAACATAAGAAAACAATTTTTTGGAAGTACAATAGCGATGCGGTACTTGCTTCATAGGCTTTCCTTGATCTCTATATATAAATACATCACTTTTTTAATCTGTGGCTTTTGGATTTGAAATGGGACAAAATCAATGTTACTAGAGAAAATGAGTGGTGGTGGTTGGTTCTGTTGATATTCTCTTTATTCAATCATCATATAACAAGGAATTCATGACGCTGCTCTGAGATACAACAAACAGATTTGATGATTTTCTCACCTATTTTTGCCGTGAGAAAGGAACAAAAAGGAAGACTAATTCTGAACAAATATAACATCTGATTTGGCCAAAAATTTGAGTATAAAAAATCAGTTGACTTTCTGAAATCGGCAAACGAAAGCATGAAAGCCAAAGAAAGACAAACATAACCACCAAGTTTGGGATTATCTATCCAAATGGCTGACAATCACATATCATTCTTGTCATTCCCACACTGTCATAGTTTCCACCTGTGATATTGCAGAGAAACCAGAACCAAATCACCAGGAAAAAGACAAGAAACAACACCTTAATTAACAACTCAAATAATTCAGAGCTTTTCACTTGATGACCAACTGGTAAAATGAAGGCGATGATGGTTACATTCACGTCGCCCGCCTGGATCCTCCTAGACCTGTCGGTGATGAAAAACAGGGTTCACATGCTCTGTTCATAATTGTATGGGCCCACAAAACCATTATTATATGATATGCAAAGTCACCTTGGTGAAATACATAATATATATGGCATCTATATTTCTTTCCATTCTAAGTTTTATTCTGCACAAGGGTTGTCTCTAATTCCAAGATGTGCACGAATGCAATTCAGACTTATATGATATCGTTAACATTAGTGAAGAGCAGAGCAAAAAATCACATGGACCTTGGAAATTGACCAGCTATGAAGAAGACCAAAATACTTACTGTTATACATTGTTATATCTACATGTATACATAATATTTACTAACAGCCGAGCCATAGCATCAACTTCTTGGTAAGAAACCAGAACTTGGAGAGCAGGGGACTAAGGCATACTAAAGGAATTAAAAATCAATGAATCCATTATCTCTACAATTTTTGGTTGCGCCTGCCTCTGCATAGAAATTATAGATAGTTGCATAGATATGTCGTAGCTTAATTTGGAGATTTTTCTAATGTTTATTTATTATTTTAATGGATGCTGGGCATGAGACCCAAAGGCCAGTCACATTGAGAATAAAGAATTATTTTCATATAAAGAATTAAAAAATTGTTGGACCTGCATTGTCAAGCAATTCTTTTGTTATCCTTTGGGGCCGTGCGCTCATTTCGGCCTCTCTTGGTTCTCAGAAAGTACGGCATCGAGGTCAAGTTCCCTGTCCTCTGGCGCACACGAGTGCTTCTCCTAACGGAATCATGTGCTGGCTGATGTTGGCCTGCTTTAGCATTAGGGTGCTGGCTGGTACTGCCTGTAATAGCATTCGTCTCCAGCCTTAATTCCATTTTCCCCTGTAATTCTGATGCATATATTGGCCAAATTCCACACCCTTTTATCCTGTCATTAATTTCATCCACATGACAACCTAAGTAATGTACGAAGAAGAATTCACATGCAAACTTGTAAGCGGCGCGCTCATCAAATCGCCTTCTTTGGTTTTCCTTCAACATGCGATCCACTGGATCATACCATAACAAAACATGATCTGTACTCCCATACTCGAGGTAACTAATTTTGTCGTCACCCCTGTAATAGATCTTTTCATCTTCAAAGTCAAATTTTCTCTCAACTCGTGTCAAAGAGTTGATTGGCGATGTGGAAAGAATACAACAAGTAGCGAAACCCAATAAATGGTCAGAAGAAGCTGGTGCAAGCTCAATACTAATGGACCTCTTAGCGGTCTGAGAATATTTGAAGCCCCTTGGGATTGTGCGTCCGGGATAACAAAATCTAACCTCGCTAGAGTTATGTATTGCTCGCATTAGTGGGAAAACGAAGGTCTCCAATAATTGGCATCTGTTGAGATAACAATAAGTAAGGGAAGGTGGAAGTTCTGGTAAGGACCTAAGTCTCTTGCATTCACCCAAATCAATTACTTTGAGCTCTGAAAGATGCTTGATGTTATCTGGCAAACTCTTAACGCTGCTTCCTTGTAGTGATAGAATCTTCAACAATGACATGGCACTGATATTGTCAGGGATCTCAGAAACCTCACAGTATCTCAACCTCAATTCTTCTAATGAACACCAGGCATCAAACAGAATGACTAATTTTGATTTGTCTATTCTTCCTCTAAGACAATCAAGAGAGAATATTTTAAGAGATGTTAAGCAACTTAGCTCATTTACTTGAAAGCTCTTGAGATGCCCACCGAGATATAGCTCTTCAAGTTTATTGAATCGTCCAACAGGCAAGTTCAATGTTTTTATCCTGGTAGCATTCAAACGTAAGCTTCTCATTTCTTCTGATGATAACAAAAATTTCTCGAGAGCATAGCAGCCTGTCAGCTTGAGTTTCTTGAGAGATTTCAAATGGTTATCCCCGTGAAGATTTGTTAGTTTGTGGCACTCCTCTAGATTCAGAGAAACAAGTTTAGGAAGAGACAAGATTGATGGATGAATACTACATAAACATCCACAATATCGAAGATCCATTATTTCAAGATTTTGTGCCATGGAGAAATCAGGCAACTCCTTTAACTGGGAAGAGCCCAGATTTATTTTCTTCAAATTCATAAGATCCTGTGACAATTAAAAGAGAAAAGTTACTGAAAAGAAGCCCTCATAATCCAATTAGACTAAAGAATAAAGCATGCATTAAGATTTAGCCACACCTGCACACCATCCCATAGTTTTACAATTTGGCTACCCTCCATTTGGATTTCAACGAGTTTTTTAGTACAAAAATCCAACGGTAGGGTCTTCAGAGGATAATGGTCCCAACAAAAAAACCTCAGTTTATTAGGAAGTGACTCCAGACCAAAAGGAAGTTGCGTTGATTTGCTTCCACAAAAAAGAATTGGCACCCAAAAACTTGGCATATTATAAGAAATTTTGAGAAATCTTAAATTACTCATTTTTTTGAAAGGATCAGTACTCAGGCATATGTCGCTTTCTAACTCATTTTGGATCAGTGTAATGCCTTTAATTGCATAAGTTCCCTAACATAAAAAAATCCAACTAATATTAAACAAGCGTATCAAAATTCTTCAACAAAAGAATTTAAGGAATGAAAAAGGAAGTTAAAGCATCCTTCTTTTACCTTGTTATTTTCCAGTATATCTTGAATTTCTTTTGCATCATTTAATCGACTTCGACTTTCAGGATGCTCTCTAGATTTCTCACGAACTATTTCTTCAGCCATTTCTTGTAGCATATCATGAATTTCTACTCTACTACCACTTGAAATAGTTATGAGTGCTTTATCTAGAAGCCTATCTATTCCAATGTCCACGTAGAGGTCATCATTACAAGCATCTAGCACCCTCATAATATCTTCTTTCTTTTCTCCCCTGAAGAAGAATGCAATATTTAAAAATAGTTCCTTTTCTGGTATATCAAGTCCATCATAACTCACCCTCAATACAGTCTGAATTTCCCTATTTGGATACTTTCTCAATTTTTTAAGGGCACTCTCCCATGCTTTTGTATTTCTTGAGTTCAAATATGAACCCAAAACTTTTAATGCCAGGGGAAGACCTTTTGCATATTCAATTACCTGTACTGATAACTTTTCATATCCTTGTTTAGGATGGCCTTGCTTGAAAGCTTGCCGACAGAAAAGTTGAAGCGACTCTTCATTGTTTAATTCTTTCACTTGATGTACTTCATGAACTCCTCCACTAACAAGAACATGTTTGTCTCTACTTGTTATGATAACTTTGCTACTTGGTTCCAATGAAAGATTTTCTTCAATAAGATATTGTAATTGGCTGGGAGTATCTACGTCATCAAGCACTAGAAGAACTCTTGTTCGATGTAGCCTCCTTTGAATATCAGGCATTCCAACCATTGTGAGATTTTCTTCGTTTAGTAGAACAATGAGAATTTTTTCAAGTAAACAAGTCAATCCAATCTTTTTCGATTCCTCTCTCACATTTGCTGCAAAGTAAGAACTATCAAATTGGTGGGAAAATTTATCAAATGCAGCACGAGCTAAGGTCGTTTTACCTATCCCTCCCTTACCCCAAATTCCAAGAAGTCTAACTTCTTGTGAGTCATCTTTCATAAATGATTCAATAGTAGGCAAATTTTCCTCAATTCCAATGAGGATTTTTGGCTCCATTGTGTCTTTATGTTCTACCTTTTTCAATACATCTTTGATTATTCCCTCAATAAGATCATATTCATTTCTGGCATGTTAAAAGAAAGAAATTGTTTTTTTAAAAAATCATGTACAATAATACGTGCATATATATAATTATCAATAAAGATGACAAGATTCATCTAATAAACAGAAAGAGGAAACAACTTACTGAAAATCTGAGGAGTGATAATAGCCAGATAAGTTTGCAGTTTCTTTCAAGACAGATCTCCAAACTTGCAATAAGTTGTCTTTAAACTTCTGCTGGTGCTGAGAAAATGAATCTGCATAAGATCCTTCTTGATGCCTAACATGTGATGGGTCTACATTATAGAAAACTGGGATTACAATTTGATTATTGGCTCGCTTGCATTCCATGATTTTTTCTAACTCTTCTAAGCACCACCTTGAAGAAGCATAGTCTTTTGAGAATATCACCAGCGCAATTCTTGATCTTTCTATTGCTTTCAAAAGCGCAGATGATATTTTATTTCCTCTTTCTAACCTCTCATCTTCATACACATCTATGCCCTTTAGCCGTAACTGCTTTTTCAAATGGCTAAGAAACCCACGTCTAATGTCTGAACCTCTAAAACTAACAAAAACATCATATTTTTCCTGCGGAACTTTGGAAGAAGTTGTAAAAGTCGACATTACTGGACATAAACAAAAACCATAGGGTGTTAATTATTCCTAATAAATTTGATGCTAATCTCTGCCCTCAAGTTTCCGTTTATAACATTCTAGTAAACATATAACTGTTTAAATATTATATGCCTACTCCCATGTGAGTTTAATTTGTATCTAGCCAAGCGATGGCCCGGGGGGGGGGGGAGCATCTAGCATGGGTGGCTTGGAGATAATTAAAGCTGGTTTCACAAAGTTGGAAAAAACAATCAGTGGGTGCCAAAGACCATTGTCAACGCCAGAAGAATAGGCAGGATAGCTCATTTACAACTGTAATGCTGACCAATAAACAGAAAATAAATGCAATAAGGGCAAGTAGCTGGGCGGAGAAAAGTTCTCCTCTAACAAAAAATAGTTGGGCATCCCATAAGTACCAATACTACTAATTGCAATCTGAATTGGGTTGAAGGACTTATTAGCTTAAACAAGTGGATCAGACTTCAAGGAACAAAATCTAAAATCCAGACATGAGCGTCCGAGGGTCATTGAACAGGCCAAAATGCGAAGCGAAAGAATCAAATAAAATCTCTGTTCTTCCTTGAAGAATAGGGATTATTGACGCAGAGGGGAGAAATTTTTTTGTGAGTAGAATATATCAGAGAGCGTTATAAAAGCTGAAAAATAAAATAGAAATTATAGTATGTTATTAATATTAATTGTGTAATAAAATAAATTATAGGAGAGATATTCAGAATATATGATTGAGATTCACTATCTCACCGAAACTTCTATTTAAGATTTAACATAATGTTGATCCTGCTTCATCATAAAATTCAAACAAGTGGAAATGAAGGATGGTCAAACAGAGAAAAAACACAATCATATGGAATGGAAGTCATTAGAAAAATTACGGCCTTTCCTGATGCGTATGTACACATGCATGAATAGTTCGAAGGCACACATTTTACAGAGCCGAGCAAGAAGATCATCATACCTGGATAGATCAAACCTTGTTTCTGCAAACTAAGAGCAAAAGTGATGTCAGAGTAAACAGCAATGCAGTTTTTAAGCGAAGAACAAGGTTTCTGGGAAACTTCCTCATCAATACGTGGAGTCTTCGTTATTAGAAAGCAACTTCAATGATTTAAAACGGCTAGCTTATGCGCGTTTCCTCCATTTGCCATGCTCCAAGAAGAAAATAAAAATCAAATAAATATTTGATTTGTTGACTTGACTGCTTTATAGTCAAATGCTATCTTTTCAAACAACAAGCCTGTAATTTAATTGGCTGGTAGTCCAGAGATTTTATGTTCGCATCCAATTGTGGGCCATATTAGATGTCAGTACTCGGCACCTGTGACCTGATTCAAATTAAAAATAACTGACCCTTTTTTTTTTATCAATTTTAAAAAACTCCTTTAATATATGTAAAATAATTAAAACTACTCCATCCATCCTGTATTACTAGGCAAAATTAATAGATTTTTTTTTTTGCGCTGTTTCATAATCAAAATCACCATTCTTTATACACATTTAAATCAACCTTCCTAAATTGTCCCCATTATTAAGATTATATGGTACTCCTCTGATTCTATTTATAGGGCCGAGAGAGAAGATATTTTTTTGTTCTATTTATAGGGTACTTAAGAGAATTTTTATGTGGATATACAATTTTACCTTTCATTTATTATTGTATTAACTTTGTTTATATGAGGTATAATGTATACTAAATATGGATAAAATTAAAAAGGTGTTAAATAAATGAAATTAATGAAGTTCAAAGTTTTTTTTTTTGTCTGTGTGAAAGATGTTAGAAGTGACTTATAAATAGGATTAGACGAGTATTACATGTGTGTTGCAAAAATTTATTACTTTGATCATAGGTGAAACTGCAATGTTTTGATAATCATCTTCTTCTTGCATATTTCGTTGGAGATTAATATTACATCGGGTTATTCAAGTTGCCTCACCATTAATTATCCTCGAATTACATTAGTGTCTGTTACATGCAAGAAAAATTTGTTCAATGGTGTTCTCATTTACTCAAAGGTCAGTGACACGTTGGAAAATGATATCTATTCGAGAAACATTTTAATCTCTTTCCAGTCATTTTTTCATATAACAATGTTTTGTTAATTGCTTATTCCCTGGACTATTTTATGAACCAGAGTTGTATAATTTTCTTCGCTTTATATATAATTGACCCTTATATATATATATATATATATATAGACACACCCACATTTGATATGGAGATGGAGGGCGTATTCTTTCATAAATGATGAGAGGAAACAGCACCTACTTTACATAAAGACGACTAAGGAAGAACAAGAACGCTCATTTCGGAGGGAAATCGATACCTTTAACTTTTAAAGATAACTTTTCGGAGAGGATGGTCTGCTTCTTTTGACAATTTGAATACATAAAAATGCTTTCCCAGTTTCACACTCACCATCAAAAGAATAATTAAAAAAATAAATAGTTCATTAATTTATGATATTGGTGTTGGAGGATGATGTTGCTTTCCACCACTAATTTGGGCATTTACATTAAAGATGCTTTCACACCCATCACTTTAGTCTCTCTGTTTTGGGCAATAGTTTAGTAGGATTCATTATAATTTTGGAGATAAGGTTCAATTTTACTCTTGAAGTTGTTGCTCAAGAGTCGTGGGTATCAGAAAGTTTTTTTTACTCAATATCATCCTAAAAGTATTAAAAATCTACCAATATTGCCCCAACCGTTTAAAATGTTATATTTGACCGTTAAATCATCATGTTTGACTCCATGATATCCATGTGGCACCTCTTCATAGGACATCATAAATTACACCGTGGCAATAATACCTCAAGACAAGACAGCTTCTTCCTCCTCCTTTGCTTTTCCCATTAATCCCCGGCCCAGTGCTCCTACCAGATTTATTTCATAAAATTCCGACTAGGAAACCAATTGATCCTTCTATACAAGTCCAGAAGCTTTTCCCATCATGTGAAAAATATCTTCATGGTGTGTGCTCTGAAACACCCAAAACTGGAATCGGCCTGCGAATCTATTTCTTCCATGATCTGAACAACACCGACGATGGTTATAGCGAACCGACATCAGACTCCGACTCCGACTCCGACCCCATTTTCTGCATCGCCGGTCGCTTCTCTTAGAAAATCTCTTCCGGCGACGAGCTTTTTTCCAAAGGCAAGATAACTTCACAGGGTTACCCATTCCCCAAATAAAACACATCAATTCATCTTCAGTCTTGCCTTACATGATCGCACACAAAATTCTTGGACGGACAGAGTTTAATAAATCATTAGTAAACCAAGGCAATAATTTGTACAGAACATCCAGTGAAGTTGAAGAGCTCCCCTGTTTTTAAACCGTAGATACTTCTTAAAACCAAATGAATTTGTTAATAAGGTTGTAACTTGACGAAAAACACAGGAAGAAAACAAAATACTAGAATCAAAAACTAACATTAGGCGAATCAATACGTTAAAACAAATTCTTTCTCGCGAGTTTCAGAGAATGTTATGTATTTAGAAAAAGAAGGTACAACAAGCTTCTGAGATAATCACCAAATGAAGACCCAAAATATCAATGCCAGTAACAATACATTCTAGGATTGGGATTCGGGATGGAGATTAGGAAAAGGATTACAACGAACAAGAAACAAATGAGCCCACGACGAGGAAAGAACCACGATCCATGGCCAACAAAGACGATGATGAAGGGTGACTGGAGTAAACAGGACGGTACAGTGGTGGTGGAGTTAAGGGTTCAGAGCAAGCGGTGAAAGATTGAGATGAAAGCCAAAGAGGCGAGGGTGAGAGTCGATGCCAGCAAGAAACGAGGAAAGAGAACCGCAGAGCCATTCATTTTTTCAAAATAAAGTAATAAATATTATGTAAATGCCAGGTAAGCTAACTGGGAGAAGGTGAGAGAGCCACATCAGCAAGAATAAGTCAAAAAAGGAAAATTTAACCGTCAAAATTAACTTTTTCTAATATTTGGGCAATATTGTTACATTTTAAAGTACTTTCGGGGTGACCTGAGCCAAAAACATTGTTTTTGGATATCTATGGCTCCCAAGCGAAAATTTTTAGGACAAAATTGAATCTTATCCCAATTTTTTTAACCTACATTTTTAACTTCGTGCATTGTTATAAATTATTTCTTTAATGAAAAACTTTCTTGCTAGGTTCATCTAATAAGAAACCTAATTATAAGGCCTCGTTTATAAATGAGGCCTTATAATTAGGATTAGAGGCAGTATAACTTTATAAGATAAAATAGATTAAAAACTTATATTTAGAACCTAGAAAATATATAATTTGACCTTCAACTGCATCCAGTTTCCTCCCAAAAAAAATAAAAAAAATCCAAATTAATAATAAATGGGAAGGGATTTTTTTTTTTTTCAGGAGATAAGGTGTTATTGGATTATTAATATTGATTATAACATATTGATGGGTGAATTGGTTATGCAAGGGGAAAAAAAACTTTGATCATCTTGCTAATGTTCTAATCCCCGAGAACTGATCTGCAGTTATCAAAATGAAAAATCGAACGCAGATATTTTTTAATGCAAATTTTTCGAGCAAAACACTTGTTGACTTGATGATATTATGTTTTTCCAAATACATCTAAGTTGTTGTTTACGCAAGTTTGAAAGATTCTCATCTATTTCTCTATATGAATTGCGTGTATAGAATAATAATCCCACATTTTTAATATGTAAGTTTTTTAATATACGATTGGAAGGTAACGAGTCAACCTATACTAGCTGAGAAATTTCGATTGTTGAATATATATATATATATATATATATCATCTAGGATTGTTCACAGGACGGAATAGGATTATATTAGGCCCATCCTGATAAACAGGAACGAGATGGGATTTTTGTCCTGTGTCCCATCATGAAGCTGTATGAGACGTTCCTTTTTTTTAACAAATCATTGTAATTTTGGGTATGGATGCTTTTTTTTTAATATTGTAATATTTGTTTTTTATTAGGCTTCTAAAGATAA